GGAGCACCTCTCTTATGAGGACAGGCTGAGAGAGTTGGGCTTGTTCAGCCTGGAGAAGAGAAGGCTGTGGGGAGACCTGATTGCGGCCTTTCAGTACCTAAAGGGGGCCTATAGGGAAGATGGGGAAAATCTTTTTAGTAGGGCCAGCTGTGTCAGGACAAGGGGGGATGGTTTTAAACTAAACCAGGGTAGGTTTAGACTAGATATGAGGAAGAAATTATTTACCATGAGGGTGGTGAAACCCTGGCAGGGGTTGCCCAGGGAGGTGGTGGAGGCCCCATCCCTGGGAACATTCCAGGCCAGGTTGGATGGGGCTGTGAGCAACCTGATGTGGTTCAAGGTGTCCCTGCTCCTGCAGGGGGGTTGGGCTGGGTGACCTCTGGGGGTCCCTTCCAACCCAAAACATTCTATGATTCTATGGCCAAAATCAGGCAAAGGGAGCAGGACACAGAGAAGAGAAAGAGGGGAAAAGGACTGTGGCTGGGTAGGGGCATAGAGTGAGAAAGGATGGGATATGGTACCGGACAGAGGGAGAATGAGGAAAAAAAAAAGGCCAGGGATCAAGGCAGAGATCAGGAAGCACTAGGGAGAGAGAAAGAGACAGGAAAGAGGGCAGAGGGATAAAGAAGTTGAGGGACAGGGAGCTGGGAAATGGGATACAGAGAAGGAGATGGGGAGAAGGACACTGGGATAGAGAGTGAGAAGGACAGTCTGAGAAATAAAGAAGAGAGATGGAGAGCAGGATAGAGAAGGAGGGAGGCAGAATGACAGAGGGACAGAGGTGAAGAAAGGGCAGTGAAGGGCAGAAGCAAAAAGAGATGGCGAAAGAAAAAATACAGATGGGGAGTGGGACAGAAAGACAAAAGAGGGACAAGGAAAACTATGGTGGGATAGGGAGAAAGGGACAGAGGTGAAGAAAATAGATGAATGGGGAGCAGGACAGAGGGATAAGGCACGAAAGCATGAAGAGGAAGCAGGAGAGCGGGATGCAGAGAGAAAACAGCGATAGGCAAGCTCCCGGCCCCACTCTGGGTCCGTCCTGGCTGCCTCAACCTCTGCCCGCCCTCCATCCCACCTGCCCGGCACTGCTCTGGGGGCTTTGGCACTGCCCTTCCTCACCATCCCTCTCCTGAGCATCACTCATCCCCTGCTGTCACCCCCTGCAGCACTTCTGACACACCCGATAGCCTCACAGTGGCCATGACCTCACTGTCCCCACCCTGTCCCCAGGGGACAAAACAGCTGCACGTGCTCTGGTGCCCTTGATGCCAGCGCCACCATGCTGGACGCCATGGGGCTGAGCCAGCACAGCTGGCTCCCCCTTCTCTGGGCCAGCATCTTCCTCCTGCTCCTGGCCACCTGGGCCACCCAGGCCACCCAGCGCTGCCGGTGCAGCGTCTCCAGCAATCGGCACCAGGTAGGAGGGAGGCTCCTGGGGAGCCCTTCCCAGGGAGACCGGCCAGTGACAGAGCCCCTGCTCTGTGTGAGGGTCCCTGGCCTCAGGGGGGGAATTGGGGCTGTCAGGGACCCCCACGCAGCACGTGCCGGGGCTCAGCCACGGTCACTCAACCAGTGCTGCTGTGCCTGCAGGTCTCTCCTCGCAGCCGGTGGTGGTGGAGGAGGCTGACGGAAGCTCGGTACCCAGGTGAGGCCATGTGGTGGGGCCAGTGTGCCCAGCTGACCATACTCACAGCCCCCAGCAGCAGAGCTGCTGTCACACCCTTAAGATGTGGTTTTCCTGGGGTTTGCTATAGAACAAGCCCACCCCAGGGCCCTGGGGGGGCATCCCGTCCCTCCCATACGACCAGCTGTCCCTGCTGGGTCCCTCTTCCTACCCCCTGGGTCCTGCTGGGAGGAGGAACAAAGAGGGGATATCCATGGGGCTGGTGCGCTCCTCCCACTGCCAGGGGTGAGGGTTGCCCCGCTCCCTGACCCCAGCATGGCTCCACTCTCCACGGCCCAGCATGCTCAGCCTCTGCGTGGTGCCGGCACATCTGGGATCCCCCCAGCCATGATCCCCGGTACCCCAGCTGCTGCCCAGGGCTGGGCTGTGCCCATGCCCCACAAAAACTGGGTCCCTCTCCACGGCACTGCACTCAGCTGTGAGGGCTCTGCTCAGGGCGCTGTATCCTCCGGCTGTGTTGCATCAAGAAGACGCGAGCGTCCGGCTGCGGGGCCGAGGTCTTCGATGCCCATGGCAGGTCCCTGGGCCGGTTCCTGTGCTACAACCTCAGCTGTGTGCAGTGCAGAGACACTGCCCAGGAGCGGCGGCGGCAGCTACGTGCGGTGCGACGAAGCCCCCAGACAGCCCAATGGTGGAACTCACCTTCCTCACTTGGCTGCAGGCGCCATCTGGGGCGCAGCATGCAGAGGATTCTCCTTCCCCGGCACAGGAGGAAGCCCCACAAGGACTTGCACACAGCTGACAGGGGTGGTGGCCACCCACTTGGTGTTGCGGATCCTCATCGCATCTCAAGGCTGGAGCTGGGAGACGATTTGAGGAAGAGACTGCAGGCTCACATGCAGAGAAAGCACAGGCAGATCCACCTGGGAATGTTCCCCACCTCGGTGCAGTGGTCCTACAAGTCATCAGCGCACAGGACAGTGCCCCTCATGCTGCAGCCCTCCAGCTCCGGCCCCGTCTACTTAGGGTCACCCAAGGCCTCATTCCTGCCGGAGGAGACCCAGGAGGTCCTGGAGCACCACCTTCGTGCAGAGAAGCTAAACCATGACTGGGACTTGCCTGGAAAGTCAATGGGCTCAGCTCCCGGGGAGCATTGTGTGGAGCTGGATAGACGGCTACACCGTGCTCCCTGTCCAAGTGATGGGGAACCCGAGGTAGAGGAGGGTCCCGGTCTTCCCTTGTGCCAAGCCACCTCTTCCCTTGACCTCTCCCAGCTCAGTCCCAAAAGCCTGCAGGGCAGGACTGGATACAGGGCTGGCAGAGAGGCCTCTGGGCACCAAGACAGCAGCTAGACACATAAACACCCAGATCGAGGGACCTTCATTAGTTTGTCCACAAATAAATAAACGAGGAGATGGCATTTGAGAGAACAAAGACTGTTCTCATTAAGAAGGAAAACAAGCAAAGATTCGATACTTCTTGCAGCATACTAGGAGGCTTTAGAAATGCAATTTATGGCATTTGTGACCATTATTTTCTATTGATGAACTATTTTTTTATTTCTGTGGTGAGCTTCAATAAATTACAGGGTTTCTCTGACAGGAAAGCAGGCAGACAATCTCAAATTGTTAGATTAGAATATTTGTCAGCTGCGAACCAGGATACCTTAACATTTTCAGCAGGCTGTTCATGCTTGCTTATGTATATGCTTCTCTTGTCTTATTCTGTGGGGTTTTTCTTTTTTGGTTGGTTTGTGCCCTTCCTCACCAAGGAGCACTGAAAACCAGTAGCACCCTGGACATGATTTTGGGAAACCATTCCAAAACAAAACCAAAACGTCTTAGTTCAGTACAGTTAGGAAGAACATACCCCTAGGGGAAAACCTGGGGATCATTGTGCTTATCTGGATCAACTTCAGGCTCCACACCTCCACATACTTCAGCAGCAGCCTTTCCTTCTTAGATGCTAGCTACTTAGACCCAGCGCAAGGATGACCATAGAGGATGAGACAGAGATCATATCATACACAGCATGCACAGCTCAGCTCTTCACAGAATCACAGAATAGAATCATTTAGGTTGGAAAAGACCTTTAAGATCAAGTCCAACCATTACCCTAACTCTGCCATCCCACCACTAAATCATGGTCCCCAAGAACCATGTCTACCCATCTTTTAAATACCTCCAGGGATGGGGACTCGACCACTTCCCTGGGCAGCCCGTTCCAATGCTTGACATTCTTCTTCCTGCTCTACATCAGTGACAGGAGAGCGCTACCTCTTGGCCACGATGGCGTATGGCTGGTTTATACCATCTGCAACCCCTTGCTCTACGCTGTCATGTCCAAGAGGTTTTGTGTGCTCCTTGTGGGTGGCTTCTGCTTCATGAGCTGTGTGAACACAGCTATTCAGACATTATTTAGAATCATAGAATGTTTCGGGTTGGAAGGGACCCCTAGAGGTCATCTAGTCCAACCCCCCTGCAGGAGCTATATTCCACCTGTCCTTCTGCAATTCCAACATCAAGCATTTCTGCCTGTGCCCCCCCCATCCCAAAGCTCTCCTGCTCTGATCATTGCTGGCCTGGCCCATTTCACCTGTGCTTATTGCCTTAACCATCCTCCTCATTCTCATCTACATCCACATCAGAGTTGCCATCCACAAGGTTAAGTCCACCAAAGGCAAATGAAAAGTCTTCTCCTTCAAATAAATTTTTAAATTAAACCCCAAATATATTAAATTACATTTTAGGGATTAGTCATTAAATCTCTCTCTGCTTGTTGGGTGTATGTTGGCTGGGATGTTGCTGGAATCCTCCATTCCCTTCAGAGTGACCCCTCTCCGATATTAGAAGAAACTCTGAGAGTTGCTTTGGCTGCAGAAGCAAGTTTGAGCCATCTGGGATGGTCAGAAATACAAGTTTCTCTGTCTCCTGCCCCCAGCCTCAACCTCAGCCCCAGCTTTAGCCCTGCCTCAGGCTCAGACCTCGTCTCAGCCTCAGCCCAAACCCTGCCTTTGTACATCTGGACACATATATGTCATCGCTACTGCATAATTTTTCTCTATTATTTCCCTAATGCCTATCACTTTTTAAATACTGTTTCTGTGCTTACTTTCTCCCCATGTGCTGTCTTTATTTGTAATTATTTCTTCTCTTTCCTTAGTGTAATCACTTTTTAGATTTTCTTTCCTTGTCTCTGCTTTACTTCGCTGTCATTTTTTTTTCCTTATTCATCACCATCGCTTTTAAAAGTTTGTCTCCTTTATCCCCTTTTCTGTCTTTATGTTTTAATTATTTATTTCCTTAGTGCCCTTGCTTCTAAAATTTTCTTTCTGTGTCTCCGTTTTAGTTTGCTGTTCCTATTTCATAACTTTTTTCCCTTTATTTCCCTAAAGCTCATCACTTTAAGTGTTCCTTCTATGGCTACTTTAATTTCCTTCCCTCTCTTTTAATTAT